CCGGGATACCAGGACACAAACAAAAGTTAAAACTATTCCAACAAAAGGGGTATCCTGAAATAAAACGTGGAACAAATTGGCAGAACAAAAGCCGTCGAGGCCAGAAAAGGAGAGCAATCCCCAGAAACAGGATAAAACAAATTGCCGAAAAAGTTGGCGCCTCCTTTTGATAGGGGGACATTGACTCCTCTGAAAAAACTTGGGGTCATTCAACCCCTCAAGACTTCATGGAAAAACACAAACCAGCTGTTGAGGGAGCGACAAAAATTTTGTCTCCTATGTTGTAGAACAATTTGTCTCCCGAATTCTGGACTTCTTGAGCTGTCAAAACTCGAGTTTTGAAATGTTCAACTGGCGACTTTATAGCTTTAACAACTTTGTAAACTGTCAAGAACCATGTTTTTCAGCAGAAAACTAATTTAGCAAATGGTTGAAAGATTGTAAAAGTCCACCCAGTTTTTGGGAAAAATACACATTTATGAAACCTCTACAAAAACAGCAGATGTTACCACCTGGTGTTTTCAAATCTGCACAACAAGGAAAACCCGCCAAACCTGGTGCAAAATTTGTATATAAACCCCAGAAAATTGGGTAACAGACACAGTCAAGTTTAGAAGGTTGAACTGCTGAAGTTGTGTTTTCAAAATTGGAATTTGGTACTTAAAAAAATCTTTGCTATCAGGGTGATTTTGGAATATCACGAATTCAAAAGCTTTGGTACTTTTTTCCTCTTCCTAGGTTTGAATCTACTTTCGTCAAGAACGGAACTCGTCTGTTTTAAGTTTGTCCTTTTGAAGCAGTGTGTGAATATTTTAACAGATTGGGAACTTGAAATTTTTACAAAACTTTGAGCCTAAAAGGAACTCAAGTCCACTTCTGGACCACTTGAAATCCTATAACTTGTATTGTTCTGATTACTTTTGATTTCTTGTGTGTTTGGGTGTGAATACCTCAATTTTGTACAAACTGTGTGTGTGTAATTATCTGTGTGTGTGTGTATCAAAGAAAGGTCTGCGCTAGAGGGGAGAAATCCCATGCTGGTTCGCGCCCTGCTAATTGCTGCATTCAATTTAATTGATTACTTATAATCAAAACCACTACAAACTCTACTCTGCTGATGTAATCAAGGTGTAAGGCTTAATAAAACTCATCTCTAAGAAATAAAACCTTACAAAAAATTGGTAGCAGAGCGTGGTTCTAATCCACTGAGAAAACTTTAAAAGTTTAATTTTCAAACCTTGAATTTCTTGCAATATTTTCCATCCTTTGAAAAGTCTTCCACTGCCTAAAAAACCATTTTTGTCATTTTTTCAACTAATCTTTTGTTGATATCTGTGAATATACATATTCAAATATTCGGTGAAGAAAAGATCTTTGAACAACTTTTGAAAACTCCTTGAGTCTTTTGTGTATAAAATTAACTGAGTATCCAGAAAGTCTTTTTCTGTGGTAAGAAAGCTTCTATTGTGTGACTTTTTCTTGTCTCAGTAAGACCAATGTTTGGTAAGAAATCATTTTTTCCTTGTGAGTATTGTGAGTATACAAAACTTTGACTCATTTCTTGCATCTTGAAAATAACTTCAAAAAGAAAAAACGTGTGCTTTGAGAAATGTTCCTGAAAATTTTCTTGTGAACTGTCAACAAATCTTCTCCAATTTTCAATTCTCTATCTACCCTGAAAATGAGAACTGAGAGGCCTGTTACCAGGCAGCCCACTACCCAAAATCCTGAGGGGCTCAACCCAGAAAATGAACCAAATTTGGTTTCTTCCAAGCCTCTTGGAAACCAAGATTTGCAATAATTAAGGTTGACAGCTGGTTCTCCTCCTTTAACCGTACCAACTAAATCCAAAAGAAAGCCTGGAAGACCTCCAAATATTCAAAGGAGGCCCCCAACTCCTCTTTCTGAGGAAGATACTAATTCAAACGACTCCTCCATCATTGGACAGGAGAACCCAGATCCAATAACCGAGCTCATGAAACTCAGTAATTTAATCATGAAAATTGATAAAGTTATCAAAATATCTGATGATGATTACAGTCAGTTGCAGCTCAAAAGATTCAAGCCTGAACTACTCAAAATTCTTAATTTTTTGAACAATCTTACTGGTAATCCTTGGTCTGCTTCTGAAAACAAGGAAGTCAAAAAACTAATGGACCAGCTCAGTCTCATTAAAATTTCCTCCTGGGAAGACATGAAAAATGGCTGGAAATCTAACTTAAGACCTACTGTAAAGGAAATAAAAGGAGTTGTTTTTCCTGACCCTCCATCCAAACAAATCCTGGGGTGGTGGAATTAGGTCGTAATTTCCAAACCCAATTATCGTTGTCCAGCCTCTGCAGGAATAATATCGTGAAAAAAATTTCCCTTTCTGCATAATTGGCCTAATGTTGTACTGCCAAAAAATCCTGAAAGTCGTCAAAAAAATAATCGTTTGGAAAAAACCAGATGAAACTGGTAAAATGGTAAAGGAAAAATGTTGTTTGGTAAGAACTGGAACAACCTCGTATGCCTGAACTGGAGTATTGTCATCAAGATAAAAATGGAATTATCTCATCAAGATAAAATAGAATTGTATTAAAAAATTTCAGGATAAAAAATTCTTTAAAAAAAATTTCTTAAAACAATAAATACATATTTTTCTGGTCTAAAGATTAACTTTACTCATGAATATTTTATTAAAGTTTTAAGTAAACCTTATGCTGCCTACAGATTTTACAGCATTGCCTGGGAAAGTTGTAATCTTTTTAAGGGACTTGGATTCAGTCCAATGAATTCATTTAGTCCAAGATCCCGCTAAAGCTCTGAGGGTGGGGGATCCTGGTACGTAGACATGGGTCAGTATTTGCAGTGAAGAGAATTAAGTTAGGTAAGTAGTAACCTTCCCCAGGCTAACGGTGCCCTTGCCTGGGGGTTTGTTATTTCTCAGAGAGACTTGCAGAACGTTTTAGCAAGACTCTCTTAAAAGCTCTCTATTTTTATGTTTCTGAGATTGTACGAATATTTGTGGAAAGAATATATTTGAAACATATTTTTTATGGAACTCAAACATTTATTTATACCTTGGTTTACGGACAACAAAGGGAAAATCAGATTCCAAAACGAGGGGGAGAGGGCTTAAGTGGGGGTGGTGGAATTATGTCGTAATTTCCAAACCCGATTATGGTTGTCCAGCCTCTGCAGGAATAATATTGTGAAAAAAATTTTCCCTTTCTGCATAACCGGCCTAACGTTGTACTGCCAAAAAATCCTGGAAGTCATCAAAAAAATAATGGTTTGGAAAAAACCAGATGAAACTCGTAAAATGGTAAAGGAAAAATGTTGTTTCTTAAGAACTGAAACAACCTTGTATGCCTGAACTGGAGTATTGTTGCCAAGATAAAAATGGAATTATCTCGTCAAGATAAAAAAGAATTGTATGAAAAAATTTCAGGATAAAAAATTCTTTGAAATTTTTTTTTTTAACAATAAACACATATTTTTCTGGTCTAAAGATTAACTTTACTCATGGATATTTTATTCAATTTGTAAGTGAATAAAAAAGTGAAAAGTCAAAAAGTGAGCTGTTACCCTGGAAATTCAAGTTTTTAAAATTTATTCTGCTTGCAATGATTTCTTTGAATTAGGATTATCCTTTTTAAAAAAATTTCTTAGAACAAGAAATACATATTTTTCTGGTCTAAAGATTATAACTTTACTCATGAATATTTTATTAAAGTTTTAAGTAAACCAATACGACGGATGTCTAAAATGTCGTAACGGACCCTTTCAACATTAGAAAAATTCCTTGAACCTAAGTCAGGTTACTTAAGTAAAACTAAGTAAAATTAACGGTCTTTTGACTTTATCTAAAGTTCACAAAAAGTGAGCTGTTATCTTGGAAATTCAAGTTTTTAAAATTTATTCTGCTTGCAATGATTTATCTTGAATGGATCAAGGTTCCTTGATCCATTCATTGATTGACAGCCAATCACCATAAAATGTAATACATAAAAAACTGTTATATTGGAAATTCAAGTTTTTAAAATTTATTCTGCTTGCAATGATTTATCTTGAATGGATCAAGGTTCCTTGATCCATTCATTGATTGACAGCCAATCACCATAAAATTTAATACATAAAAAGTTGAAAATTAATGCCAAACCAGCTAAATAATCAGCCATATTTCATGGATGGTTGGATATGGGGGGAATTTTCCAGTGGATCTGCATACAGCAAGCACATAATCTTTTAAATAGCAGAGCACAAACACCATAACAGTACAACAGAAAAAAGCAGCACTTGCTGCTTTTTTCTGATTGAAATTGGCAAACTGCGCATGTTAACGGCATGCGTAATGCTATTAAATGGCACAAATAATACCACATGAAGCGTGCATGGGAAAAATAAGAGGCGCATCCAGGACAACCACATTTGTGCATGGCGCAAGTTAACAATGTGCACTTGAAAGGATATAGCACTGTAAAAGCAGAGCATGCTGTATTTTTAAAATCAGAAGCAACCGATGTAAGGATTAACAGTAAATGTAGGGACTTCGACACACATAGATATTCAACACATCTTATATTCCAATAATCACAGCACCACACAATCAGGTCAGGAGTAAAATGGTACTAACAACACTGTCAAGAGTCAAGAGCTGAGTGACGCCAATCCATCTGGCTGAGGCCCTCGTCCCATGCTTCCCCAGATTGCAAGACGCAATAAGTGCGTGCAGGACCAGATGGGTGGGAGATGGAAACTGTCAAGGGGTTTGCCGATAGATGTTGCATGTGAGGGTGAGGCTAGGGCCTTACTCTCCCCCCCCCCCTGAAAAAGTTGAGGATCTTGAGGACTTCTTTTTGCATTGAGAGAATATGCAATGCCAAGGATACGGGTGGTCTTTCAAAACACCTTTGTTGGTGGGTCGGAATGCAGGCTTGCGGCCATACGCATGGTCCAAACTTGTAGTGTGTTGCCCCTCTGATGGAGCATTGGTGGGTTTGTGCACGTAGCAGTGGTCACATTGGTGGTAGCACAATGTTGTCCTTGTTGGATCCGACATGGATGAGGCCCAACTGCTTTTCAAATCTGGGATTTGAGGGTTGTGGTAGTCTGTGGTAGGGGACCATTTCCCATGCATTGGCCTGTCTCACATCAGGGCTGGCTCCTACGTGGTACTCCCTGTTGCCTTGGTAAGATATAACAATGAAAGGACCTATACATTGGGGGCAGAATTGACAATTAGCTGCATGTTTTTTGACGGTTGGTAGTTGAGGAAAGATAGAGATGGAATCCCCGGGCTGAAATTGGGGTAGTTTATGTTTGTTTGCTTGGGCGATGAACTGGGCCCAATGTTGCTCCACATGCTGCTGGATGGACTTGAGAGAGATTTTGTCGTTCAATGTTGCTGCCCAGAATGTGTGGTCCGCTTTGAGGATGGTATGTTTTCCAAACATAGCCTCGGTGGACGTCACGTTGGTAGCGGAGTGAATAGTGCTGTTGTAGGCTTTCACTGAGGCCTGGAGATGCGTGGCCCAAGAGGTGTCGTTGCCTTGAACAGCCTTGGCTTCGATTTGGGTCAGTGTCTTGATGGAGCGTTTGCAACACCCATTACCCTCAGGGTGCATTGCTTGGGCCACGTGTTGTTTTAACTCGTAGCCTTTTAAGAAATGGCAAAAAGCGTGACCTGTGAAAACGGAGTTGCAATTGGAATGAATAATTTCGAACAAGCCGTATTTGCAAAAAACTTCTGCAAGGAAAGGGATGACTGTTTTGGAGTCGGCCGCTACGATTGGCTGCGCAATCATATACTTGCTGAAATGATCCACTGCAATTAAGGCATACCTGAAGTTGTCCTTAGTTTTTGGGAGGGGCCTGTAGAAGTCCAGGATGAGGCGTTCCCAGGGGCGGTTCAATTTGATGGCACTTAGGTGTGTGCCTATGCGCTGGGTGGGCTGGTTATATTTGAAACGTAACTCACAGGACAAGATGCATTTCCAAACGTCCTGTCGCATTCTCGGCCATCGAAGCAGTCGCGTAAAGTGAGAAGGACCTTCTTCCAGCCCGGATTTCCCAGTTCCGCATGATAGGCATCGATAATGGCTGTACGTTCTTGCTCACTTGGTTGCGTTCTGGCAACGGCATTGTTTAATGAGATGAGGCTAAGGGCGTCTGGTGCTTGCAGAGCCTTGCCGGCCGGATGTAACAGCTCAAAGTTGAAGGTAGCCAGTTTTGCCTGCAGACTTACCAGTCTTTCCAACTGTAAACAACATAGCAAAGCTTTGTGATCGGAGGCGAGTGGCGCTTAAGAATTTGGAGGGCGCTTGCATCACCTCCTGAAAACCGGTAAAGATGCGCTTTCCATCTAAAGTAATTGTCACAGAAAGCTGCAAGAGCATTGTTCTTCCCATGATAATGAGGAAATTGCGCATGCCGGGAAGCAGAAGAAAAGACCCAGCGTGATCAGTATGTTGAAAACAAAAAATGGTTTTGGCCATGCAAGTTACGCAAGAAGCCTCGGGGCTCAGCGCGGTGCTCACGGTCATGTACAACAGTGCTGTTGGAATGGCTAATTGATGAACGATCTTGTCAGAAATAAACCAATGAGAGGCACCGGTGTCAAGTAGCACGGTCAATGAGCATCCCAAAATACGAATCGGTATTAAAATTTGCGGGGGTGCGGCCTGAATATTTGTCACAAAACAGTGAGCTGCATTCACTGTTACGACCTTGCGTTTCCCTGTACCTCTGGGCATTCTTTGGCATAATGACCAGATTTACTACAATGAAAACAGGTTACACTGGTGGTATCCGAAGAATTTCCTTTTGCAGAGGACAAGGATTAGGAGTTGCTAACCTGTTGCGTTGACGTGGCATCCGCGGTGGATTGTGCGGAACCTGTTTGGCAAAGGCGCAATCTGCATTCCTGTGAGCTGTGTCTGACGTCCTTCTTGTGGAACTCACACCATTGTTTTGGTGGGAGATTGATCTTTTGTTTGGGACCGGTTTTGCCAGAGGAATTTCCGCTGGCTGCTTTTGGGTGGTTCAGACGGTACATCTCTGCCACGTCAATGAAATCGTCCCAGGTGATGTGGCGATGTTTCAGCCATTTTTTGTGAAGCTCGTCCCGCAGACCTGACTTGGCGGAATTTAGCAGTTGCTCTTTTAGGACTGCACATTGCTNAAAAAATTAAACTTGGTTTGTTCTTTTAACCATGATGTTTTTACAAGATCTAATTGTATAACTCAAATATTTTCAGTCCAATATTTTAAAAATACAGCAGCTCACATCTGATTTTAAAAATACTGTGTTGCATTTCTTATTTTAAAAATACAGCAGGGCACATCTGATTTTAAAAAAAGTCAGTAAAAAAAATGTAAAAGCATGTTCCAAGTCCTTGCTTGTACCACATGTAGGAGGAAGGGTCAGTCTACATAGGACAAGGTTATTCCATATTCCTCATTACGAGGAAAGTCCAGTTTCTGCCATACAAGGTTGTTCCAATTTTAGGAAAAAAAATATGTTGACGATTTTATTCCATTTCAGCAAAAAAAAATCGAAAAATACGAGGTTATTCAGGTTATTCCTGACGATGATATTCCTGACAAAATTAAATCTCCACGACATTATTCCAGCATGACGAGGTTAGTCCTGGCGACGTTATTTCAGCCACCCCAAATCCTCTTCCAAAATCAAAAGGGGATGCTTGATCCCTCCAATCCTGCCCTAGACAGGGTCCTCAAAACCTATGGAACAGGCAATCCTCTAGCTTCCCCTGAGGAAGTAATTTCCAGATACAAAAAGAAAAGACACTCCCCTGCCTTTATCAGGTTTGATGGAGATCGCAACCAAGATGAAAATCTTGACAGTATCTGGGAAACCTTCAGAACAATTCATGAGGCTCCCATTTATCAAATTAAACCAGAAAAAAGAATCAGTCTTCTCAGATCTCACCTGACTGGTGAAGCCAAATACATTACCTCAATGTTTCAAGGAAGACAGAAGGAAGAAGATTATATAGCTCTGGTCAAGTACTTGTTTAACAAATATGGAAAGATCTCCTCTTTTGCCCAAAGGCTGTATAGAGAATTGGAAAAGTTAACCCCAAGGGATGAGTCCTTATCCAGGGCTGCTGAATACGCAGACTTGGCTACTAATCTTATTGGAAAAATAATGAAAATAGAACCCGATCCTAAATTGGTAGAAATGAGAGTTTGGCCTATTGTACAAGCCAGACTAACATCTCACATGATGATAGATAACCTGATGGCAAAAGCCTCTTACTTTGAACATCAAAAATGGGAAACCAATCCTGAAAGAAAATACTGGTGGCTGAGGATCCAGTTGATGGATCTTGCCAAAAGAGAAGCCCCTATCTCCACAAGAGTCATTTCCTCTTACAAAACCAGAGTAAAAATTCAGAAAATTAAATATCACAGAACCATTAAAAAACATCAAAACTGATCCTCAAAATGACTCTCAACCTGAATGACATAAAACCATGAGAGTGAAAGTATCCACTAATCCCTTGTCCAACTCATTCCTAGAAACCATCAAAGTAAAAGTAATACCTTCTGAACAAAAGGCCTTTGCTCTACTTGATACTGGAGCACAAACTACCCTTATCACTGAGGAATATGTTAAAAGACTTGGGTTGTCTCCCCAAGCAACTGACTGCAACTATATAATTCAAGGAGTCAACAAAATGAGAGAATGTTTAGAAACAAGTAAGGTCATTCACCTCACCCTAGGAAAGAGAAGTGGAAAAGGCTTTCCCCTAGCTACCTATGCCCTGGTTGTGCCCATTGACCATGCCTGGTCAGGGTCCAACCCAGAAACCCTTACCTGGATGAAAACCCCATCTCAAAAGGCCCTACTAGCTGACCCTTGGATTACTGAAACTGAGGCAATCTGGTGGGATATCATTATTGGGGGAATTGATATGATGACGGTTTCTGGTTCAGGAACCAGAAGACTATACAAAACAGATCAATTTTGCATTCAAGACACCATGTTTGGTGGAGTAGCTAAGGGTTTTCTTAGTGTCAAAGCTCCCTTTAAAACTCATAGAATAATCTCTTTCTCTGCCAAAGTCAGAGAAGAGAATCTCAAAGATACTTTACTCAATCAAGAGATAACCAATCAATTGGTACAGGACATATTTGATATCTTTGGTGAGAGAGATGAAGACAAAGCAGACTCAAAAGAAGAGCTGCAAATCTATCTTGAAAAGCTAAAGCTAAGTGAAACAGGAAGAGTCATAGCTCCCTTACCCAAAACAGCCAGGTTCCCTCAAGACTGCTGTAAGAACCTAATCACAGAAGAAATCCAAATTAAGTCTGTTGTCAATCTCTTGAAAAAGGGAGGATTGCTGGCCAAAGCTTACAAAGAACAAATAAGCGATTGGGAAAAGGACGAAGTCATTACCCCCACCTCTCTTGAGGAACTTGATGAAAGGGGGACTCCATACACTGAACTTCCCCACCATGGAGTAGCCAGACCAGAGAGTAAAACAACCCTCATAAGGGTTGTCATAGCAGGCAACACCGCTGACAAAGGAAAGACTTCTTCCAATGATTTCCTTGACCAAGGACCTAACATCCTACCTGTCATACCTGACATCATGAATAAAATAAGATGTTCAAAATATTTTGGAGTGGCCAACATAAAAAAGGCCTTTCTCCAAGTTCAACTTGCTGAAGAAGACCAGTGGCTCTTAATCATCAGAATGCCTAAACTCCAGGAAGATGGTTCCATTAAAACTCAGTTCTTCAGATTTTTAAGGCTTCCTTGGGGTATAAGCTGTGCCCCTTTTGTGTTAAATGCCAGCATAAGATTTCTCTATAGAAAAGCTCACCAAGAAGGTATTGCTTCTGGAATTGAGCTCCAGGAACTTGAAGAAAATACTTATGTAGATGATGTAGTTGTCTTTGGCCAAACTTTTGAAGAAGTCAAAGCTGAACTGGAAAAGGTTACAAATATCCTCAAACAAGGAGGCTTTATACTAGATAAATTCAGAGCCCATCCTGAAAAGGTTGAAGACATGTCAACTCAAAAGGCCTACAAACTCTTGGGACTGTCCTATTGTCCTGAGACAGATACCTTCTCATCCTGTGCTTACAAAGTTACTGAATTTGTTAATCTCAAAAGAATCACTAAAAGGCAAATAGCAGGAATCATCGCCTGAATATATGATTTGATGGGATGGGCAACTCCCTTTGTTACTTTAGCCAAACTGCTATTTCAGACTTTCAATGATCAACATCCCAAGGCTGCCTGGGATTCTAAACTGTCCTTGGCTGAAACACAAAAATGGAAGGTCATAGCTGAATCAGCAGCCAAACTAAATCAAATTAGGATTGAAAGACATCCTTCAATGGATCCTACTCTGATAAGAGAACTGCATGTATTCACTGATGCAAGTGGTTTAGCACTTGGTGCAGCAATTTATCTAGTATGTGGAGATCAAGTTACCCTTATTAGGGGAAAATACAAATTGATTCCTTCCAAACAAAGGGGAACCTTTGAAGGAGAATCAAATAAAAAATTCCAAGTGAACAGACTTGAATTGTCAGCAGCCTGCTTGGGACTGAGACTTTTTCTGGAAACTATGAAGTCCATGGACATCAAAATGAACTGTGTCCATTTTTGGACTGACTCAGAAGTAGTTTTAAGATGGATAAAATCTGGAAAAATCTGATCCATACCATACATTAGAACTAGAATTGAAAATATCCTGGGGGGATCCCTCCCCTCCAGATGGAGACATACTCCAGGTATTGATAACCCAGCTGATTTAGCTTCCAGGGGGGTCAAACTTGAAGACCTAACCCCTGATTCAATATGGTGTAAAGGACCTGAATGGCTACCTCATCCATCAGAATGGCCAAAACAAGCTATTGAGATAGGAATCTCTGTGGCTAGAAGCAAACCAGTAGTTTCAGCTGAGGTTGAACTCACTCTTGAAAAAATTTACACCAGAATCTCAGATGATTGGAGTAGGACCATCATCAGAATCACCACCTGGTTGAAGATTAAAGAATTTTTTAGACACAGGGCCCAAGTCAACAAGGGGGTTTCTCTAGACAAATCATAAGTTGGAAAGCCCTTCCATTCAGAATCTGATGGACTCTTCAAAAGGGGCACAGGGTTCCTAAGCAACCTTGCACCTCATGAACTGTATGAAGGTATTGTTGAAACTTTCAGAGTGGTCCAAAGGCTTAAATCTCCAGAGGAATGGCATACTCATCTAAAAATGGGAGAGATAGTAGAAAGAAAACCAGATTTGGGTTGGAATGAAAGACTGGGCCTGATTCTCTCAGTCAGTCATGAAGCAAGAGACCAAACTTTTAAGTCCTAAAAGGGAAACCTAGCAAGATCAGCTCTCATTTACCTACCATCACCCAAGAAAAATGACCCCCTAAACTTTGTGAAAGCATTGATGAAAACTTTTCATGAAGACTTAGGACACGCTTCACCTAATGCCCTCCTCACTTTCATGGGGAAAACTTTTTGGATTAAAGGAGCCAGACGCCTGGCAAAAACCATAAGAAAGAACTGTACTTGGTGTAGGCGTTTTGACGCAAAACCCTTTATGCCTCCTTGTGCCCCTCTTCCTGACTTCAGATACAATGGTATTGTTCCATTGTATCTTTGTAGGTACCTTCAGAACACCTGATAGAGTTAAATTTTCCATTTGTGTCTTTTCTTTTGCTATGACAAGGGCTTTTCACTTAGAACCAGTAATGGACCTCACTTTGAAATCCTTTATTGATGTCTATGAAACGTTTTGTAACAAAAGGGATGTTCAGCCCTCTGTGTTGATATCTGACAATGCAGCCACCTTTAAAGCTGTGTGGCCATTAATTTTACAGGCAACGCATATGCAAATTGAAAATAGACTCAGAGGTATCCAATGGCATTTCAATGCCTCTAGAGCTCCCTGGTGGGGAGGCTTCTATGAAAGAATGATGCACCTAATTAAAGACAGACTGGCAAGAGTATTAAAAGGATTGCCTTACAAAAGTCCTAATGCCTTGATGGGAGCCCTTTCCTATATTGAAAGGCTAATAAACTCTAGACCATTAACTTACATCTCTGACAACAGAGAAAACCCTATGCCTGTAACACCCTCCATGTTCATCAATCCTTATCAGGCAGACCCCTCTTATAATCCTTTGCTGTATGGGCCTCCCACCATTCAGTTTCTAGAAGAATCCAAAATTGGTCTTGGCAATGCTGCCAAACATAGAATCAAACTTATGAAGAATATCTGGAACTTCTTTTATGAAACTTATTTACAAGAGTTGAGACAATTCCCCACTCAACAGGGTCCTGAAACAAGCCTACAACCAGTTGTAGATCAAATTGTTTTCTTAAAGAAAACATCTTTCAAAGAAAATGCTCCTCTCAATAGATTGAAATGGCGACTTGCCAGAATTGTTAACCTTCATGAAAGTCCAAGAGATGGCAGAATTAGATCTGTAGATGTGGAGACCACTAGAACCAACCCTGATGGGTCTTGTGTGAAATTCTTATTGAGAAATCAATCAGTTCAGAACCTGGTGCCCCTAGAAGCAGACTCTGAGAAAACAGAAAATAAATTCCTAACCAGCTTTGGAAGCTTTGTGAAAAAAATCATAAAAACAAGTAATTGAAGTTCAAAAAACTTTTATTAAACAAACAATGTGCAAAACACATGATTACAAAAAACCCTTCAACCAAGAAAGACCCTTCTCAAAAAAGAAGAACAATTCCGCCAAAAAAGGGACTTTGAACATAACGAGACAGAGATGCCATATCCGCAAACTCCAAACCTCCCTCTCCCAGAACCCAGGCTTTGTCCCCTACTTTTGATATTATAAATTTCCTCTGAGAGGAATTCTCAATCCTAAGTGATGATCCCACAATGAAACGTCCAGACACAGCTCTCTTGGGGTCTGAGCACAGGAAATCCGCAGAGAAGACCTCCAGGAACATCTTCTGACTTAAAATCTCGTCCATCCTGAAAAGGAGAAAGAAAATATTGTAAATACCAGACATAAAAGCACCATTTTTTCAAGAAGCTCACTGTCTGAAAGGATCACCTCCTGATCCAATAACTGCCGGGTTGATGTGGAATGGTCCATTTCCAAAACATTCCTATGGACCATGATCTGTAGAATGATGATGAGGAAGTCCAGGGGGAATCCCTGGAGCAGTTTTTCCACTGTCCAACAAATAGGGGCAGCTTCCAGCACATGCGAATGCTCCCCAAGTCTTGTTCAATCACTGGGTCCATTCCAACCCAAAGCAGATTGCGGCAGCATGAAGCTGGGCAAAGAACAGATAGGCCCAAGTATGTATGTGGCCAAAAGATAACTTTGTGCAATCTGACCTATCAAAAGCAGCAAGATGTCTCACTGGAGTCGGTACTGCCCACCATCCCTTACCACCTGGAGCCCCTTGCCTTTTCCCAATTTTAGTCTTTAAACCATTATACAAAGCCATCTGAAAAGCATGACCAGCGCTTTCTTGCCCTCTTTGACTCAAAATTGGAACCCCATTATTCCTGAGGGGAATGAGAAGAACCCCTTGCAAGTCAAGATCCATCTTTTCAGTCAAATACGTATTACTCCCCTGAGCTAATGCAGGGGGAGCAGAAGCCCCCCAAAGCCAGGACTGGCGCATCAAAGGCACAAGAAAGTTCATCAAAATAGAGGGCCTGAAGAAAATGTCCAAAGTTAGGATAGTGACGACTGATGTCAGGTTCAGTTAAATTCTTCAAGTCATTTGTCCCCACTCTCACAAAAATGCGGGTAAAACAGAAAGCAGAGCTTAAATGAAGATCTGCATACACTCTGTTACGCATTTCCTCTGGAGAAACTACTTGACCTTTGCCAACTAGGGCGGACCATCCACTTAACAAGTACTGAAAAGGAAATGAAAGAAATTTCATTCAAATCTTGTGCTTCAAAAAAGGATTCACAAAAAGATGTTTTATTCCTCTACCTGAAACAGTTCTATGCCCCTCCCAGCAAGAAAATGCTTGAAGTCAAAAACCACCCTGGTGGTGGCCTTCTCAGGCCCAATGTTATCGCAAAACATATTGCACCCTTCAGACAACCTCCAAGGAACGGTCAAGGGAGTACCAAGAAGCAAAACACAAGGTCCCTTTCCTGAGTTCTTCAATTTTGCCCCTTGATGACGATTCTGAGGCAACCCATATGTATAGTCCTGCACCACGCATCCCAGAACCGGGAGAAAATGCTTTGAGTCCTTTCCAGCTTTTGTATGTCCAGACCAAAATGCTTAAAAACGTTGCACTTGTAACTGATTGGATCCTCTGGTTCAAATAGACTCCCTCTGAAGGGATGATAGCAATGCCCTGAGCAAACAAAATTTGAGAAAAGTTACTACAAAACTGAGATTATTCATTTAAAGGAATCTTACCAGGATTCAGCAAATCCAGAAGCTCCTCCTCCATGTCAAAACCTAAAGCCCCTTGTTTTACCTCTCTCTTTACTGAAGCTGATGTCACTTGAAGAGGCACTGAACTCTTGGTCTTTACTCTCTTTGATAAAGCATCTGATGCTTGGGAGTCTCCAACAACTGAGCTTTCTTCATTTGTGTGGGGACGCTTTGCCGCAGCCAGATTTTCAGGGGTCTTTGACTGCTTTAAACCAATTTATAATTGCTTTTTTATTGCAACGTTGAGTTGCCGCAAACTTTGCATCCTCCACCCAATATTCTTGTATGACTTCAACACTTCCCAAAAAGACCTTAGTCTCTCCAATCGTCCATACTTGATGATATCCAGCTGCAAGTTCTGAGATAAAAGAGTAATTGAAAAGGGAAATTAATACTCAGTCCTATCAATACCAATTACAGTTAATGTTCTTACAGAGTGTGCTGGATGTAAACCCTATCCCCTCAGCCAGATAAACCTGGGGGATCCCACTTAGAGCGCTCTGAAAAACGCCCAAATGACGTTCCATCTGACGCCTAATGGAAGCCTCCACTTGGAGCATTTGGCTTTCCTCACATTCATGAAGCTCCGCCATAACCTTGCCACACTCTACTAAATTCTCCTGCTTTTCAGAAATCTCTTCCTCCTCTAAAACGTGTTTTTGCAAAATAGGTTTTTGAGAAGAAATGTGCTCAGCCTACTGTTGAGATTCCTTTTGAAGACGATTGAGCTCAGCTTTGAGACCATCCCTCCCTATTTGAGCATTTTTCTTGCTCTCCAGAAATGGAAGAAAGTCCCCAATGCGTTGAAGACTGGCCTCAGAAAGTGAAGAAAGTTTTTCGGCCAGGTCCACAGCAGACCTTGGTAAAGTAACCATTAAAGGACTACCAGGAGAACTGAGTTCCTGAGGGACCTCTTGTGAAAGTTTGACGTAATCCTTAATTTCCCGCAACTCTGAAAAGTTTCAATCCAAAAAAGAGAAAGAACGAGTAAAATTTTGTCCTCCCAACGTTCAATGGTTTTTCCTTTACAAAAACTTACCCATAGCTTCTCCTTCCTCCTCTGAGTCTTCGATTAATATAGGAAGATCTGCTTCCATCTCCTTTTCCCCTTGAGCCTCACTGTAAGACTTGTTTGATTCTGCCACATCAAAGGGCTCAGTAACTTTCTCCAAATTGGACATTTTTTCTTTGCTCAATTGATCGTTTAACGAATCTGAAAACCAACTGCAAAGTCTCCTCAAAGAAAGGGAACGATCGTCTCTGCCAAAGAAAAGAAATCTCATCTTAAATAATGTCCAGACTCAATGAAAACTCAAACTTCAAAGTCAAAGTAGAACTGACAAACAAAAAGGAACTATCAAGATCCCAGCTGGAAATCAAAGGTTGATCTTCAAACCTCTAATCTCTACCTGAGATTTCGACTGTCCCTCTTGACAAAATACACAATACCTTTTCAACACTTACAAACAACCAGTCAAAGCTGCCAATTTTGGCATAAAATCTCACTAAAGAATTCACCAGCCGATCTACAGCATCAAGCATGATTGTCATGGAGGATATCCTTTTCCAAAAAACTAAGGATAAAATCTCCCAACAACCAAGCAGACAACCAAATGAAAATGCTGAAAGAGGATCCAAATATTTGTTTTATCGCCAATTTTGGCCCAAAACATGACCATTGGGGAACAGACTTGGTCTTAACCAGATCCAAGTCCAATACCCCATCAACCGTATACAAAACCAAATCAGTAAAAGGACATTCAATGCCAAGTTTGGCACACTCAAGTTTCAAACAGAGAAAATTTTTCCTTGCCAATCCTTGGCACCACAATGATCCTCGGAACAATGCCTGACTTCCACAGAAGGCATCCTTACTCAGGAAAACCCTACATACCTTAACCAGTTCTGGCATCAGACATGATAGTTGCAGGCGCGGACTCATTCAAAAAACCAAAGTCCCACCCAACGACAACCATGCTTATGCCAAAAATCGAAGCTACGAAACTCTTGCTGAAGCTTCAACACTGAAGATAGCCGCAGCAGCAATGGTTACCCAAAAGAAAGAAAACTAGGGTACCTGTGTCAGCAGCCCCCCTCAATGTCAAACACAGGTATCAGAAAACCCCAAAGTTGGGGAAATCACTGTCATTTCTGGCTCCTGACCTGATCGTCATGGTAGCAGACTTGTTCAAAATTGAGATCCACCTCCTCAAACGACCAAGCCAGAACTCTGACGCTGTTCTTGACAAAAAACCACAAACAATGTGGAGTGGGACTCAGTCAAAAAACTCCAAGATCCCACCATACGACAAACATGCATTTGTCCAATAAGAAAAACGCCAGAATTGGCACACAATATTTGATTGAAAAAGACTGCAGATTCCGATGATCCAAAAGGGCCTTCAGCATCTCAACTACTGATTGGAAGAAACTAATCATAACTTCCCGACTGGTAACTGAGTTTCCGAACACCTTCACGCAAACAAGAAACTTTTCTGCCAGCTTCAGCATCTAAAAGGAACAACACTGAAACTAGATCTGGAAGGAGCAAAAGTCAAAGACCAACTTGGAAAAGGGGCCTAAGATGGCAGACCACCGCAAAAAAAAGACCTCTGATTCAGGCCTGAATCAACCGGTTCCTAAACCCACTTGTGGATCAAAGAAGCTCAGATTGACAAAGAGCTGAACCAGGAGAAGCAACATCTAATCTTCTCAAACACCTAACATGATACAACAATTGAAAGTCTACTGGGAAACTTTTTCCTATGAAAACCTGATACGAAAAGGGGACTTATTCGACCAGAAGTACTTGGTCTTGAAAATCAACCAAACATTCCTTGCCAACTATGGCACACTCAAAGTACTGAGTAACCCCTGCCAACTATGGCACACTGGAAGCACCAAGATGAACCACAAGAAACAAGTCAGGCCAGGATTAGCTAGCAGAAAATCACCCGCACATTCATGGGCATACAAACCATGGAGTACCCAAAACTCGTGATTCAGGAAGAAAATTTGAATCACATCCTCGCATCTGGTCCATCAATGTAGAGGCAAACGTATTCCCTTGATGAGGAAAATATGGATAACAACACCACTCATCCCGGAAGCTGAAGTACGTCATAGGCATTTGGAAATATTCATCGCAGGCGTCCACATCCTGCGGCTCTCATCATTACTTGTAGACCGAACATCAATTCTTTTTGTACCATTCTCGGCAGAGATCATGGCTCTTTCCGCGGCCAGTTTGGTGAGATGAGATGAATAAGAAGGCAATATAGTTCTTGAAGTGTAGATCAGGACTGCTTAAGCTGATCATTGAGGGAGTAGCACAACCTCGTGAGTTCAACGAAGCTTTCTGTGTGGATCCGTGGCTCTTCCGTTTCATCTTCATGGCTGCTGGAAGGAAATGGTTCTTCAAAATCAGCAGTGATATTTCAATGTTCTTAATCAATGCTCCAATTCACATTTGTTTAATTGATGTACAAATGGAGGGTTCCTTCAAGTGCATCAATTTCTTGCATAAACAGTACTGTACTGTATAGCTTTATTCATAACAAGAGTGACATTGTTTATAGTGAGAATATCTCATTACAATACATAGTGCATGGAATAAAAATCTTGTTATGAAAATTATTTTGTTCATTATTATGATGAGAAGCACGTTCATTATGATGAGAATCATCTTGATTCTAATGATAATCATGTTCATTACAATTTACATTGATAATCATATTCATTGAAATGAGAATATTCCCATTATGACAAAGATTTGGTATAATGAAATATTCGTTATAAACAAATTTTATGATGAAAATCAAACAAAGCAAAAATCAAATATTCATTCTAAACAAAGTTTGTTATAACAAAATTCTTTTGAACAGAATATTAGTTGCAACAAAAATCTTTAAAACAAATGATCTGTTATAACAAATTTTTGTTCTGTTATAACAAATTTTTGTTCTGTTATAACACATTTTTGTTCTGTTATAACAAATTTCTGTTATTACAAAAGTTTTTTTGTAACCAAAAAAATTAATTAGAATGAAAATTCTTTATAACGAAAATTCGTTATAACGAAATTTCTTTTAAAACGGAAAATTTTTTTCCTTTTTTGTAACAATTTAACAGCAAATTATTATAACGAAAATTTGGTAAAACGAAATTTATTTTTTAACAAAAATTTGTTACTTTTTGTTAGAACTAATATGTAACAGCAATTTATTGTAACCAAACAAAAATTCGTTGTAATGCAAATTCGTTGTAACAAAAATTTGTTATAACAAAATTTCTTTTATATTAACGAAAATTTGTTACCTTTTGTTATAACGATGTAACAGCAATTTGTTATAACCGAACGAAAATTCGTGATAACAAAAATTTGTTATAACGAAAATTCGTTATAACAAAAATTTGTTGTAAAAAAAATTTGTTGTAACAAAAATTTGTTACTTTTTGTTATAATGATGTAACAGCAATTGGTTATAACCAAACAAAAATTCGTATAATGAAAATTTGTTATACCAAAAATTTGTTATAACAAAATTTCTTTTACAACAAAAAATTTGTTACTTTTTTCGTAACAATGTAACAGCAATTTGTTGTAACCAAACAAAAATTCGTTATAACGAAAATTTGTTGAAACAAAAATTTGTCATAATGAAATTTCTTTCATAAAAAAAATTTGTTACTTTTGTTATAACAGTGTAACAGCAATTTTTTATAACCAAACAAAAATTTGTTATAACAAAAATTTGTTATAACAACATTTCTTTCACAACAAAAATTATTTGTTTTTGTTATAACAAATTTATTTTTGGTTATAACAAATTTGTATTTTTTTTGGCTATAAGAAATTGCTGTTATAATAAAAATTAGTTATAACAAAATTTCTTTTATAACAAAAATTTGTTATTTATTATTATAATGAATTGTAACAAATATTAACAAATTTTCATTATGAAAGAAATTTTGTTATAACAGCAATTTGTTATACTAACAAATTATAGATAATTTTCATTATAACAGGAATTTTGTATTCTGGGTGTAACAAAAATTCGTTATAACCAAACAAAACAAATTTTTTTTATACCAGAAATCATTATAACCAAACAAAAATGCATTATAACAGAAACAAAATTTGTTTTAACAGATCATTTGTTATAAAGAATTTTGTTGTAACTAATATTCTGTTAAAAAGAATTTTTGTTGTACAAATTTTTGTTATAATGAATTTTTGTTACAAAAAATGTTTGATTCTTGTCTTTAAATTATTTGTTATAACAAATAATTTGTTATACAAAGATACAAAAACTTTCCTTTATTTCAAAAATGTCTGTTATATGAAAAATTTGTTTTTGTCATAACAAAAGTTTGTTTTTGTTATAACAAATATTCTGTCATAACTAAATATGATGAACTATTCCTTATAACAAAAATTTCCATTATAAAGAGCTTTCTTCATAACTGAAATGGTTGTTATAGGAAAATATTCACTATTCCCAGATTTTCATTAAAATGAGATCATTGTTGTGTAATGAACATGTTTCCCTTTATTATACCAAATGAGATTCCCATTAGAATGCACAAGATACCAGCATAATGCCCAATTAGGGCTACTCATGTGCAACAAATTGTACAAATGACAGTATGTGCACAGCTGTGATCCAAATAATTCTACACAATTTAGAGTTACAAAAGCATCATGTATCCCAAGGGTAAGCCCACAGCTGGTACACATTGGGGCTATTCCTGTGAAGAGACAAGAAGGTCACACATGTAACCCTGTTGTAGTTAGCAGACAAGTTACAGTAGGTCTTCACATGGGAGACACTGTAATTCTACACCAGGGTTACAGGTATATCCCAGGTATGAACATACAGATGATGCACATTTACAGCTACTTCTGTGGAGAGACAAGAGGGTCACAAAAGTATCCTTATTGTAGTAAGCATAAAAGTTACATGAGGTGTACACCTGGGAAATACAGCACTTCTACAACAGGCCGGGCTACAGAGATATCCCAAGTGTGATAACACAAATTGGGCACATTTGGGATATGCATGTGCAAAAGGAAAAAATTCGGTGCACTTCAGGAGCACAGCAGGGTCACTGTGTGGAAGTACATGCTATCCCAAGCATGCACCATTTCCCCCACTGGGGAAGTTTCTACAAGAAGGGA